CAAAACATCCATAAACCTAGAATTACTCTATAGCTATAACAACAACAACAAAAACACTGGTAATAATACACTATAAGAAAGAAAGAGATCCATTAACGGCAAATTTTGCCAGGCCTAATGTCCACCAGGGGGAGACTCAGGCTCTTTATCAGTGAAGCCTAGTTTCCATTCTACACACTAGTCTCAAATCATATTCAGTAGTGGCAGTACCCATCATGTGCATTAATTGGCTACTATTCATGGCCTTGGAACTCTTTAAGATGACTTTTGCATCTAATTTTCATATGTTTTACATTTAAGAATCTTCCCATTGTTCTAGCTGGTGTTCACTTCTGTGTATCCTGGTGTGATAAAAATGATCCTCCAAACATTTAGAACATATATCACAACGTATATATGGTCACATTTGAAGGCATTAACAAACAGTAAATTTGAATAATTTCATATGATTAAGAAGGTACTTTGCAACTTAAATGTTCCATTATGTCCATGTGTTTCATCACTCTTTACATTTGACTAATCCTGCAAGTAGGGACCGGAGGTGGATAATATTGTCATCAGAAAGTTTATTCAACTTCAGTTTCATACTCGCCTCCTTTTTATTGTGACCACAGCGTTTGACCAATATCCAATATGTCTCTATTTAGCTATACACAGTGTTGAGCTGTAGACAATGTTATGCAAAGTAATAAAGTTTGCATGACATCCATCATATTTGCAACATGGCATTTTCCCCCAAGACATAACTGACGTTCATTTTGGAATGTTGAAACTTTAGCTTGTTATCATAAACACAGACCTGTTCCATAAAGTGTGTTTAAAAAATTGTGGATTAAATCTTGTTGGGTTGAAGCGGTTACATAAAAGTCAATTTAAGTTCACACAATCCTACTAATTTGACACAGGGTTAATGAGTCAAGATAATTTGATGTGCACGCTATTCTTAAGCAGTCCTAAAGGTCGATCATGAATCAAATCAATCCACCATAGCAAATAGCATATATTTGTGCTGTTTAATGCATTTGTTTTTTTTTCTTCAGTGCATCTTACATTTCACAGGTATATTCTCCATCTGTAAATGTTAGAAAGTCATGCAAATATTTCCATTTTTCTGAGTAGACGAGGCTTATGCAAGAGTTTCCACCGAACTTAACAGTGAATGAGTGCTGCTGCGCACATTCTCACAATATGATTAAAATATAAATTTTGAACATTGTTGAACATTAAATGTATAAAATACAAGTGTACGATAGCATTAACTGCTAAAGGACCATTGTAATGGGGTAAATCAAATATAGGCTAATATTACTAAGCTCAGATGATTTGATGTGTGTTCCTCTTACCACAATTTAGTCTGTGCTTTTTTTATTATTTATTTTAATTTTCCATTTAGTTTTAACTTCTGCTTTCGCTCTTGAACAGACAAAAGCGCACAAAGGTATGCCAAAATGTCTTTGAGTATCCCCATAGCACAGTCTTAAATTATAAATAAAGTCTCAAAGATGCTATGTATTTTTTTAGCGGCCTCTATCGGTGATGTTTCAGATTGCAACCAATTTTTACAAGAGCGCTCGTGCTCTTGCGTGTGCTCGAACACAAGAGCGAGCACTCATGGTGGTACACTGAGACTTAACACACCAGAGAAAGCATCAGACAACATGCTGGAAACTCATGTAAACTCCCACTGCAACGCTACAATAATAGGCTACTTTTATCAGCTTGACGTTGAACTATGCTCCATGCTCGTACCATGATAACGTTACACTTGTGGTGCTATCTAGCATAAGGCATTTCACTATCTATTCGTGTCTCTTTCACAATCAGCAATGTCAGCATAGATGAATGTATAATATGATGGTTAGTGAACTAGACTGAACAATTTCAGTGTAACAGATTGTAGGAAGTAACATTACTGTACTGAACGTCTGGAAATGTGTATTATAAACAATATCATAGTAGTGGGATGAGTGACGTTAGACAGTAGATCTAGTACATAAAATAAAAGATACATCCTAAAGCACCTACTTTTTGTTATCTTTGAACAGTCTTTTCTATTCATTTCATGTCTCATATATGTTTTAGTTTACCTTGCTATTTCATTACACCATTACCATTATTTCAACATATCTGAAAACTTGCAATTGATGATCACAATAAAAATAGCGGAGGTCTTTCCATGACTCAAACGCTCTACCGATGTTGATCTGTTTTTTCGATCAAAGTCGATTCGATTCACGTTTGGCCTGACGAGCTTCAGCAGATTCATTTTTGTTTTGTTTTATTTTTTATGTTTATATGGAGTTTGTGTTGAAGTGTGTGTTGTGCTGGAGGCAGGTCGTTTTTTGGTGTTATCAGACTCCATGCCGTCAACTGCAGTGCCGTCCCATAGACTGCACATAAAAAGGAGAGAGGCTCGGGAGTGCGCAAGCACGTCACATCCGATGGATTTCGCAGAAAATCCGTCTCGGAGACTTCACATAGAAATAGAAATACTGGCCTTCAGAGGTAATAGCCCGACAAGTAGATCATTGTAATGTGTGATTACAAACCCTTCACACAAAGACAATAGAAGATTCATTAGGGATTAATTTTAGAAGAAAAGTTACATATAGCACCTTTAAATGCCCATAAAGAGTTGTGAAGACATCAGAGGTGTGTCAGACGTCAGGTCTGACATCTAAATCAAAGAACAGAAGAAAAAGAGAAAATCACTCACTGTTTTTTTCACTGCTCTACTCACTGAACTTTTGTTGCTTTAATAAAGGATTATTCTATTTAATTTGTAATTGATGCAGTGAAGTCTGTGTTTGATAACTTTATTCAATTTCTGCATATTTCCAACCAGATAACATATATTGTCTTTATGTTGTTTCTATATTAATATGGAGATTAAATGTCAAATTATTACAATATAGAAATATATTAAAATCTTAATTACTGGGTAATAACTAGTACTAATCCTGACCCTACCCCTGTTCCATGTTTTACCTTATATACTTTCTAGGTACACTGTAAGTACACTGTAAGTACTGTACTGTAAAAGGAAGCATTACCAAAACTTTAATGCTTGGTGCAATTAATCATGATTAATTACAGGAAAATGTACAATAATAATTAACCCTTGTGCATCCTTGTGGACATTTTTGTCCTTTTCAGTTTTGTTTTTTTGATCACTTTGCCTGTGTTAAAGCTAACTGCAAAAAACTTGGCACAGGTGTGTATTTTTATTGGAATTTTACTATTTCACCGTCATTTTCTTAAAAAAATATTTTTTGCATTAGGTACAAAAAATATACTCCCTCTCAGCCCCTTTTGGACAAAAATGTCCCCATTGAAACCCATTAAAACTGCCATTTTTAATCCCCAGTTCAGTTAACTATAAAATTATGCAATCTTTGTTAAGAGGCTTTCATTCTGATGGCAAGGCTTCAAAATGTTATTTTTTTACTATTTTTTATCAGATGGTGTCATTTTTTTTAAGTTTGGCCTATAAAACAAATGTCGCTTTATTCCTGTTTTCTGGTTCGGCATACTATAGAGCCAACTGGATAAATTATGCAACGATATTTGTGTGGGTGTGTTGGTATGGATGTCAGAGTGTGATTAGTATGTGTGTTATAAAAAATATGTGTGTGTGTACGCATGTGTGTGTTTGTCAGACTGAGAGAGAAAAACTGCAAATTCAAATCCAATCACTGTGAGCTCCAGTGGGGTTTTGCTGGGACCCAATGGGGAAAATATGTTACTACGCCCAAACAAACTGTTACCGAAAGCTCATTTTTTGAGATATCATCCTCAAATTTGGAACACAACCTATTTAGATTTATGGCTTTGATTTTATTGTAGTTTTGAGTTCAACCTGATTTAAAAAATATATATTTTATATAAAATATTATTTTATAAATAATTTTCATAAACTTATACCTATATAACTTTTTTTTGGATTTACTTATTATTATTTTTTTTACTTCAGCAATAATCTGCAAAGGTTCTTCTTTAAAATGATACCAAACTTAAGTCTGTGCTCCAAAGTGTCACATTTTTATGACAGTTTTTTGACATGAACATTTTTGTCCTCGTTTTACATATGTGTAACTTTTTTTAATTGATGCACAAGGGTTAATTTAATTTGTTATATTTAGCTTTTTTATGGGTACTCATGGAAGGGGGATCTTCTCAACCACCACCAATGCACTAGCCTGGCTGCGCCCTCCTACGCACTTCCGCTCAATTTCATCAAATGAAATGTACTAGAGTCTGGTTGAACCAGGCTACCAATGCACAGCATCCACCTGATGATGCGACGGCAGCCATATTGCACCAGAACGCTCGCCACACACCAGCTTACTGGTGGAGAGGAGACAGAGTGATAGAGCCAATCAGTATTATGGGGATGATTAGGAAGCCATGATGGACAGAGGTCAATGGGCACATTTGATCAGGATGCTAGGTTTACACCCCTACACTTTTTTGAAAGACATCCTGGGATTTTTTTAATGACCACAGAGATATATTTTTAGTATGTTAGTTTATTTGTTTAGTATTTAGTTTAGTTACCTTTTCCATTTTTCCATCCTTTCACACACACAGTATGTTTTAGATGTAGGCCTACTGCATCTTCTTCATGGGCAATAGCAGTGTAAAACAATGGTTCATACTTTTTTCAGTACAGAAATTGACATCTGCCTTGAGAAATATGCATTAAAAGTATTAAAATCAACTTTGTTTGCCTATAAAAGTGTGCAGTTTTGTAATGCTGTTGAGAAAAGAATGACAGAAAAGAAAGAACAACATGTTACTTTTTTGTTTTTTGGAAACATCAGTAATGTACACAATGACGCCTTTAATGATGAATGATTGCATAAGCTTAAAATGCAGTGAAGTGGGGATATGAGAGGCTGACCTGGGATCAGCAGGTTGAGTGTGGAGTGTCACTTCCTGCAAGTGCAGAGGGAGGCAGTGCTGAGTTAAAGATACAAACACACATTACAACAAAATAGAGAGAGGAAAGAGAGAGAGAGAGAGAGAGAGAGATGATCTGAGCCTCAGTAGCTTCATGTATGATTTTCAAACATTGATCATGAATATATCGAGGAGATCCGACTGATTCTGTCGCTCGGGTGTGTGAAGAGGTCAAAGCGAAACCTTTTTTTCCCCCCCGTGACGCAGGGATTTCTTGCTCTATTTATCAGCCTGATACATTTTACATCATCAATATAGGAGACATTTGAGATATTATTATTTATTGTGTGTCCGAGGAGTAAGAGGCTTTTGACCATGGGATGTTTGGGCAACAGCAAGACAGAAGATCAGCGCATCGACGAGAAGGCGCAACGAGAGGCGAATAAAAAGATCGAGAAACAGTTACAGAAAGAGAGACAGGCGTATAAAGCCACACACCGCCTGCTCTTATTAGGTAAGATAGGAATCTATAACTAAAAGATTAATAACAAATAGATATGTGTCAGCATCATCTGATCAGAGATATGGATATATTTCCATCATCATCATGGATGGATCATTTCTTCATGGCCCTGGAAATACTAATATTTAGGCTATGTATCATCTCATGCCTTTTTTTCTGCTATTTAAAGGCGCCGGGGAATCCGGGAAGAGCACTATAGTCAAACAGATGCGGATCCTGCACGTCAACGGCTTTAACGCAGAGTGAGTGTTTGATTATTTAGCGTTATTACTGCCACTGGGCCTTTACTGTGTTTATTATAGCGGATGCGGCATCTATGTCTGTTGAGGATGTTAGAATGTTGACGGGCTTCAGATGTACGCCTCTGCGTCCGGTGCGTTTTATGGCTGTCTCTAAACCCAGTTAGCTGCCTACTTAGACAGCATTTTGGGCATCATAGGCGTGTGCAACATTCTTGGGCCTCATTTTTGGTCATCATACACGCATGCAGCATTTCCGAGTCTCAAATTTGAGCGCCCACCTATACAGCATTTTTGGATCTAACGTTAGTGTGCAGCATTTTTTCAGCATCATTTTTTTTTTTTTTTTGGACTGCGTATAGACAGCATTTTTGGATCTTATTTTTGACCTGTTTCCCTAGATACTGTATCTTTGGGCCTTATCTCATGGCAAATAAAATAGTTAGATAATAACTGGATTGATTATATATAAGAGTTATGTGCCGTTATTTCAATGTTCTCTATCAGGATGAGGTCACTGTGTGCAGAATGTGCTCTGTTGTGACTTTAATCACAGTTTGGCCTTTGATAAGGGCCACCTTTGAGTAATATTACAACACATTCCTAATTTATGGACAATTATTATGACACTCCTAATTTTGATATTATGCCATTCAGTCTTTAATGACAGTTGCCTCCTACTTTCCTCCTCTTCTACTCAGAGAAAAGCAGCAAAAAATATTGGATATCCGGAAAAATGTTAAGGACGCCATAGTGGTAAGTCATTTTTGTGAATAAAAATTGCACCCAATTTAATGTTTTTGTTTTGTCTTAAGCAGTTTTGTCTAGCTGATTAGTTTGGTTGAATTCATCCTGCTTTTACATCTTTGTTTCTATTTTCCAGACGATAATATCTGCTATGAGCACCTTAACACCACCTTTGTCAATCGCCAACCCATCCAATCAGCCTAGAGCAGAGTACATCAAAAGTATAGCTCCACTCTCAGACTTTGACTACACAGAGGTAAGACACTGTATCCACATCTGTAACAGCACTAAGCGGAAGACAATTTTTTTTATATTTTTTTATGGGAAATTGATGTCACATCGGTGGATAGAAACCTAGAATGATCGATTTCACTGAAAGAGGGTGTTATAGTCTATTGACCTTATAACCAGGCTGATATTGGGCCAAGTTGTTATTGAAATGTTGGTTATTTTGTTGTTTAGATCAGCCTTTCTCAAAGTGGGTGCCGCGGCACACTGGGGTGCCCCCTAGCTGTGTCAGGGGTGCCGCCAAAAAATTACGTAGGCTAAAAAAAATGTGGAAAAAAAAAAACTCAGAAAAAAAAACAGCTGACATTTCATATATAAATATATTTGAATTTACATTCTTCTTTTTAAACATATGAACATATTAATAAAATTGTAAATTTATTTTAGATAAACATATAAAATTAATCATAAAAAAATCCGTCTCACAAGACCGAAGCAAGACACACACAACTTGACGCAAGTGACGCAATCCATAGCAACGCGTTATAGCAACACCTCAGACTGACAGAAACGTAAAAATAAACGTGAATTTAGGCCACTTTAGTTACAGCATTATGGATCGTTTTTTGAAAAGAAAATCCCCACAAGAGCCGGGGATTTTTATTTTATTTTATCTGCATCCTGCACTTCATTTGAGTTCTCCTGGTCTGGATTTGTTATTGGGTTCTTGTATTGGGCGGTCCACCTCTTACGGTTTTATGGCATTTGTGTCTCTGATTAATTATTTTGTGAATTACTTTGCAAACCTGTGTTTTTAAAGGTGCTATAAAGTTTTTATTATTATTGTTATTTACAGTTCATATTATGCTCTGTTCATTACTGTTCTGTCTAACTAAACAAGACATTTGCATTTAAATTTGGGTTATGCAGTGTTTTTAAATTATATTTTAAACTGGGGTGCCTTGAGATTTTATGCACTTTTGAAAGGTGCCCTGACTGAAAAAAGTTTGAGAAAGGCTGGTTTAGATGGTAGTGCTGGGTATTGACTCAAATTTCACAATTCGATTCGATTTCTATTCACAAGCTTGTAAATCGATTCGATTTTGATTCGATTCAATATTGGTTATTTTGGATATCAGGTACAATACATGGCAACTTTTTTCAAGGTAAAAAAAAATCTCTTAACTAACGCTAAATCTCTTAACTAAAACTATGGGAGTCAGCGAGTCTACTAGGCTTCATTAGCCTACTATAATATTGAAGGTAAAAAAGAATGATCTGTATACAAACACTTAAATTATACTTTTATTTATTTTTATAATAATAAAGTTATATGAAATATAAGTCAACACACTTTCAGATTCATGTTTATTTTGTGCTGTTACTGGTATTATTAAGGCAAAGGACAAGATCATGTGATCGGCTGCTTCTCTTGAGCTGAGCTGTGCCAGAGCGATCTCACGCTACAGCGCCAAAACTGTATTTTAAGTTTTTACATTTTGTAAGAAAATGGACGTAATTTGAAATCTGAGACTTTGTTTCATATCACAGTAACAAAGCACAAAGATTATTGTGATTAATTAAATGGGATGCGCTACAATGTTCCATTCATTCATCAACTGAAAACAGGATGACTAGCCTAATCGATTCTTGGGATTTAAGAATTGATATCTGTTCATAAAAATGAGAATCGATTAGAATCGAGAAATTGATGTTTTTAACCCAGCACTCTTAGACGGTAGTTCTTTACAAATGTTTCCTCATAACTGATATGGTGCACCAATTCCCTTTTAAATAGAGTCAATGGTTCAGGCACATACTGCATGATGTATTTACTCTAGTAGCAGAGAAATTCTGCTATAGATTCTTATATGTCCTTGAGAGCTGACATAGATGTTGTCACTCAATTTTATAACTTTGTGGGTCCATTGTTTTGGTATTATAGGGAAGATAACATTATGCTATTTTTTTTCAGTTACATGAATTAAACATACAATTGTTTAATTTTGTGATTTTTGACTAACACTAGTCACAATGTGCACACAAAACACTTGTTAATAAACTATAAAGAAAAGCTTCCTTAATGGCTTAATTATTATGAAATCCATAAAGTAAATTTGTTTGTAGTCACTGACCATGTACACTTCATTCTCGTTCATTTAATAATATTTTATTAACAAAATTCGTGAGGAGCACGTTCAGATAATTAACCCGACTAACATGAGAGGAGCGCATTCAGTTAATCAAATCAATTAACGATAATAGGTATATATATACAGCAGACTTCCCTCTGTTCGTTGACAGTTTATCAGCATCCGTTCACCGCCACCCATCTCTTCATTCTAGTCCTAACTATTCTTATCACAATCGGGGACGCCAAAATTCCCAACTTTGAGCCCTCCCCTCGAACAGTACCCTAAATACACAAAACCCTTACTCAACTTAATTATATGTAATGTAAACTTAACAATGACACTGAAGTGTGTGATGGCCAAGACATTTTTTTTTAATGCTTGTTAAATATCCTAAGTCTCCTTACTCCAAAAGTATTTTTTTTCAATAGTTTGACTTTCAACAACTGTCCAATTGAAATACCATATAAATTAATGATCAGCTATAGTAGACATTATATGATGGAATAAAGTATTCAACTTAACAGGTATTAAAGGTTCACCTAAAAATGTAAATTCTGAATTAAATAACCCATACGAGTTTCATTTATCTTTGTAACACAAAAGAAGATATTATTAACAATCTCACCTTTTTTGTTAATCCATTGAAAGTCCACACAGGCAAACCTTTCACACATTAAAAGTACAAAAAGACATTCACATGAGTTTTATCCAATGAGGTTTGTTCTCGTTCGTCAAGCCAGCACGGTTGAGTCTCCAGAAGACTTTTCTTAAACGGCTTGATTCATATGGATTACTTTTACAATGTGTTTTTGTAATTTTTGATGCATGAACATTTTGATTATGTGAACTTTCAATGGATGGACATAGTTGTTAGTTGGATGGATATAGGATCCAAGTGGCTTCATATACAATATAGTACAGCCTCAAATGTCTACTTTTTTTCTAAAATGGCTGTTATATAGGAAAAATGTTAGAACACATTTTGACCACACAGCGTGAGAATGATCTATTTAATAATATTGTATAATATTATAATATAATATTTTGTATAATATTTAGAGAACCTAATAATGCATTCAAAGTAAATACAATTTTTGGATGAATGGCCCTAACATTTCCACATTGCCCTTAACATTACAGTGTTACCCAAATTAAAATGGTTTATTTTATTCAGAGGAGTATTATCTACATGTTTTTGTCAGTATCAAACCATGTGGCAAAACATTATATTTTGCTTGTGGTTTGTTCAGGATTGGAGGCCTGGTTATAGAGTCTAACTGTCTCCATGACCTCACTCCTGTTTGCCTCTGGTCTAATGCAACATTTTTCATATTTGTCTCATGAAACCCAAAGCAAATATGTCCTCTAATTTGCAAATGTGTTTATTCAAATGGTTGTGGACTGAGAGATGTGGTGTTAAAATAAATACTCATGAATACATGTTATAATGTTTAAATTATTCATAAACAGATCTTTATTACCTTTATGATATTTATGAAAACATTTACAGAAACTTAAGCATTATTTTAGTGTCTTTCTCTTACAGTTACCCATAAAGGAATGTCAGACACCATGTGTAAAAAAATCAACTTTCCAACATTAGGTCTAGGCAATCAAATAGATATAAGCTATTCACTATGATATTGCCATTGATATTACTTAACACGCTGAAAAGCGATTATGCGTGTTGATACCACGCCAAAAATGGAAATACGAATTGGCATGTCATACATACGCCATTTCATGAGATAAGTCTGTTATATGAGATGTCTTTACCTAGTAAGTAAGTGCATAAAAAAAGAAAAAAGAAAAAATTGGTACTTACTTTGTTCATGTTGCTTTGCAAATCACTTGCAGCTATTGAGGTGGGGTACATGTATGGTTAGGGACAGGTTTGGTTGTATGTTAAGTTTAAGGGAGTGACTGAGAATTCCCTTTCCCATGTCAAAGCATTCTATAATCACTTGTAATCCATTTAATTAGTTGTGAGAGGAATCCATTCTGAGCGATCATGTAGCAAGAGAAAACATAGATGTTCTGACTTTCAAAAAACCCTTGTCACTCCTGGCAAATCCACTCTATGCTCCACTCAGCAAATCTAAAAATGTAAAACAAAAGCATTTCACCTTTGGCTAAGCCCCGCCCCCCTTAGTTACTGTTGCTACATCCGTCAAGCTTCATCTGCGCTCTGCATGGCTTATGCTGTAACAGCTCTTCCTGCTGAAATGTTATCAAACTTTTATAAAACACTAAAAGCAGCCTATAAAGTGTCCGATAGAAGTAGGCAAAATGGGCTGCAATATGCGTTCGAAGGCTATATTCAAGACATACAGCTGAAACGCAAGAAACAACAAGGCATCCAAAATAGAGGCAAAAGCATAATGTTACCGGTCACAATCAAAAAAATGAACCACCGCATTTCCTACTAATCGAGACGGAGGCTGGGACTAACAATATCAGGGAGCAACACTGTTCATGCAAAGCTGGGTAGGTCTCTATTCACTTCTATAATCGTTATTACAAAGCAAACAGACTACACGAGTATAACGTTGTATTTATTAGCAGCGTGTGCTAGCGTGTCAACAACCGGTATGAGAACAGAAATCATAACCTAAAAAATTATAAAACGGTCTAACTAGTATAACTTCAGACTCACAGTAAGGTTAGAAGTAAAAAAAAAAGATGTGCTTGTTGATCTTTGGGGGGTTTAGCTGACTGAGGACATCCACACAGTTTCCAAAGACGACACTTGTCAGGATTTTACTTCGGTTTTAGGAAGGGAAAAAATGGACACCCCCCTCCAACCTCTCAGGAAAACGCGTATCTGTGTTACAATTGCCCGAGGCACAACGTTTAACCTTATTTTGGATAAAACTACGACGGTAATAGCCTG